CTTTTTGTTAGAAGTAATGGCTAAATCCACAAAAACAGAAAAATTTTCCAAGGGTAAATGTACGAAGGAGACAGCTTTGAGGAGCACTGAATGAGGAGGTAGGAAGGAATTACTATGGTGTATGTGTGTGTGTGTGTGTATAAGAAAGACAGACAGAGGCCAACTCTTCAGACAAGATTAGACTGGACTATGGGACATAAAATGATACTCGTAATGAGTGTGCTTCTCAGCTCAAGTAGATACATGAAACTAAATAGGTAGCTCCTGTCCAGAGGCGAGATGAGAAGGCAGAGAGGGTCAGGAGCTGGTTGAATGGACACGGGAAATCTGGGGCGGAAAGGAAGAGTGTGCCGTCACAGTATAGGGAGAGCAACTAGGGTCACATAACAATGTATGTATAGATTTTTGTATGAGAGACTAACTTGAATTGTAAACTTTCACTTAAAGCACAACAATAAAAAAATAAAGAAAGATAGACAAACAGAAAGACAAGAGACTGTCACTGAACTCTAGAGACATGATTTTAAGAAGAGGGGGCAACAGTGTAAAGAGGTCAGAGAGCATAAATACCTGAGGATTTGAAAATTGGTCAGTTCTAGCCTTTTTAGCACAAGAAGACTCCTGATAAAGCGAAAACTGTTTAACTTTTTTTTTTTTTTTTGGCTGAGACTTAGAAGACATCTTTCAACTGGGCAAAAAGAATTGAATGATTATGTTTCTGCAAGAAGAAATTCAATCTGCATAATCTATCTTTGATATTATTTTTAAAAGCATCCGCTTCCCTAATGGTAAAAATTTGTAACTGCGTCATACCTGCAGACTGATTTTTTAATAATAAATTCAGTCATAGTTGTCTAAATTTCATTTTCAACTGCAATAAATTGTAAAGGAATGCATTAAAGGATTCATTTCTCCCAAATTTTCTTCTGACATGACAGGAGAAAAGAAGATATTTTTTAATCAATTCCGCTTTCCTACCAAAGGACAATGTAATCTGGTTAACTTTCACATCTATCTGAGGCACCGGGTTCTTCGGACTTAGGTAGAGGTTTATGAGCACAAAACTGAGAGCAATTAGCACTCAAATTAATGTTACATGAGATCAACATCTGGCAAGTGTGTCATCATTTTGGGTCATAGATCACCTTATAGGCTAAATGTTCATACAATTGCAATTTACTCTGCATACAAATGGAAGAAGAATACGTCAAAAGAATTTTTTTTCTAAATTTAACAGCATGTATGTAGGGGGCTCTCACATTTTAAAACTTTGACTGGAAGTTAACAATGGATCAAACACCCATAGGATGAAACATATAGGATCAAAAGAGACAGAAAATACTTCTTTTTTACAAACATATTTTATAATAATTAGCTATAGTGCTAATATTAGTTTTTTCTAATCCATCTGCCCGCAGTAGTGCCAGTCTCCTCTTTATCCACCAAATAGTTAAGGGCAAGAAGAGGTCAAACTTTCAAAGTCTTTATGTTATTTATATAGTAGAGCCTTCAAACACCTGGCTAGTTTTGGCAATAGTACGAGCCGTGCAAGAAAATGCCAAATTCTGAGATGCCTCCTGCAACCCACTGCAAACACCAGTTGATACACAACACACCCTAATCTGAACATCAGGACTGTGGAGCCCCTCGCATCACTGTAATGTAGGTCTTAAAATCTTAAGGTTCACTGCAAGGAATCCTCTCTGCACTGGAAGCAGCTGCTGATAGAATTCTTCAAGGGACCTGGGATCCAGGGGGTTATATACTGACAAGTCTTTGTAGACAGAATGCTCAGAAAGTCCATGAAGCCTACCTCGCACTCATTCAAGGGTCTTCTGGACTTCCAGAGTTATCCAGGAACCCAAGGACCTCCTAGTAGGACAGCCCCAAACATCATCTCTAGCTTCTCTAGCATGTGCAAGAGGTTAGAGAGCAAAATCCAGTGAAAGAGTAAACTACAGCCAGGAGATACACACCCTCTCCTGCCCGCTATCCCCAGAGCACAGCAATTCCTGTAAATACCACAATTTAGAAATGCCAAAATCTTATATCGTGCTAAAGGACAGCCACAATCCAAAGAAATCTGATGACTATACATCAGAGGGGTTACCTAGAGTCCTTTTTATTTTTACTCAGTTTCTTTTTCACATAATCAAGTTTCTGGGAACTTCAGTAAGACTGGTGAACCCTTCTCTTATTTTAGGGAGTAATGTAGTATTAGGTTGGAAACAAAGGGTATGTTTGTGATTATCTGCTGCAGATTTCAAAAGCAAAGAAACTTCCTGCACTTCTGACACAGAAATGCAGAAATCATATTTTTATCTTGTTTATAGAAATGACAGATGAGGGAAACCCTCAGTGGGATGGATTGACATAATAGCTACAACAATGGACTCAAACATACCGACAATCATGAAGATGGTGCAGGAAGGGGCAATATTTTGTTCTGTTGTATGTAAGGTCACCATGAGTCTGAGCCTACTGGTCAGCTACTAACAAAAACTACAGAGAAATGAGCCATCCTTAAAAAAAATAAAGCATGTTGTAATGTAAACACCAACTAAATAGGCACCTATACTGTAATCCACATGTTAAAGTGCTTAAAAGTTACCCTGCTAGTTCTGAGAACTCTGGGCTTTGCTGTACTTTTCTAGATAGAGAGTAATGGATGTTCTAGCTGGAATTCTGCCTGGTAAAGCTGTCCATTTACTAACATTTTCAAGCTCCTGTAACACATTTTCCATTGATTTTCATAGCCATCCTACATTGTTATGGGAGCAGTTTTGAGAGGTAAGACTTTGTACTTTGGAGTCCAGCTGTCTGACTTTCAATTCTGGCAGCCCCATTTGCTCATTGTGTAATTTGGGCAAGTTTTTAACCTCTTGAAGCTCCAGTTTTACCATCTGTAAGGTGGGCCTAAGAATGTGCCCTGCACCACAAGGTTATTGAAGGAAAAATATGATCTTGATAATGTTTATGCACAAAAGTAATACCAGATACATTTAAGTTCTAATTGATATTAAGAGATTGTTTTTATTGTTAGCTGCTGTGAAGTCAGCTCTGACTCATGGCCACTTCATGCACAACACAACAAAACATTGCCCAGTCCTGCACCATCTTCACAATCAATCATTGGCATAATCGAATCCATTGTTGCTACCACTGTGTATTTTGAGTGCCTTCCAACCTAGGGGGCTCATCTTCCAGCACTTTATTGGACAATATTCTGTTGTGATCCATAGGGTTTTTATTGGCTAATTTTGGAAGTAGATTGCCAGGCCTTTCTTCCTAGTCTGTCTTAGTCTGGAAGCTCTGCTGAATCCTGTCCACCATGGGTGACCCTGCTGGTATTTGAAATACCAATGGCGTAGTTTCCAGCATCATAGTAACATGCAAACCACCACAGTAGGGCAAATTGACAGTCAGGTGGTGGATTAAGGGATTACCTAATTACCAAAGAAAGACAAAAGCATGTTTAGTATAGTATCTGGTCTGTGTTTAGTGTGTAAAAGACATTTTAACTGTTTAAATATTCAGCATGTATTTTCACTCTCTATTTAACAGAAATGTGCTATTTGATTTAACCAAAATTTGCCAAATAATTTACTGTAGTGCTCTTCAGACTGTGTTTTGAAGAATCCAGGTTCTGTGGAGGTGCTCAAGGCAGCTACTGCATGTGGGGTATAGAATGGAGTACAGTGGTGAGGATGGGGGTCAGTGTTCCAGGCTGTAAGCAGAGCAGCTCTACTTATCGGCTTTAAATATTGACTTCTGGGTAAATTTTAGTTCGAACAAAGAGTCGTGCAGCTAAAAGGAAGGGGGGCGGGGTGGACACTCATGATTTACTGTGTCTATTATTTTTTAAAGGAATATTAAAGGTAAATAGTGAGGGATATATTTGAGCCATTCCATTTGAGTTCTGATTCAATGTTAAAAATTGACTTTTAACTAAGTCATAATTCAAGAATATTTGAGATTTCACCCTTTCCCCTTTCTGGCAATGTTACGCAGGGAGGGCTCGTTTAAACCACTCTGTTCATCATCCTTCATTGGATAAGTCTATTACAACACACCAAAGCTTTGTTACTCAAAATGGAAATGAATTAAGTGAATCTGGCCTCCAAGACCCCAGGGCTGACATTCGTGCCTATCCCAAGAGCAAACCAGAGCCAAACAAGCCTGAAGCAGAGTACAGTGGTTAGGCCTGTAGTCTCTGGCGTCAGACTGCCTGGGTGGGACTCCTGCTTCACCCACCCACAGGCGGTGTGCTTTCCAAATTACTTCCCATCTGTGTGCCTTGACTTCCTATCCGTAAAATGGGAACAATAACATCAATCTTGTAAAGTTGCTGTAAGGCTTTAAAAACACAGTATTTTGTGTACACACAAAACCCTTAGAACAGGGACAAGAAGAAAGTGCTCAGGAAACATTAGTTCCTAAGGTCATTAAGAACTAAGTTTGTTTCAGAACCATTTTTGTGACCCTTGAATTATTTCCAACTCTAATTATAAAAGTCAGTGCATTTATTATATTAAATTTCCTTCTGTAACTATAGGAAGGATGTCAATTAAATTATTTAGCCTTATATTTTAATTCTCACTTGGTAATCTCTCTTTTCTTCCACATGATATTATTTTCTTAAATCTTAAGCTATGAACAGAAAACTCAAATTTTCTTGAAAAGAATCTTACAAAAAAATATCACGCCTGCAAACTGGTCCTGAATTGTCTATTGTTTTGAAGATGGGGAAAGGAGACCACATAATCTAGCCATGTTTTATTACCAGGTTTTCTGTATGTTTAAATTTCAAAGAAAAATACAAAAGATGAAATATGATTTTGATATTTAACCTTTTGGTACACATAATTTTACTTTGTACTTCTAATGTACATATTGATCATTTTTTTCCAAGTCCCACTCACAAAATCTAGAAGAAAAAATACTCTGAAAATAATAAAACAATAACAAAACTTCATAGTTCTTTTTCTGTCATATTGCAGATCTACAAGGACTCCATGTGTTGCCTCAGACAGCTGACTGGTCGTCTTTTCCTCCCCAACAATATCTCTTGACTCTTGGGTTCAAAAACAAAGAAGATGGGAAATTTTTGGAAAAAATATCAAGTAGGAAGTTGCCAACATTTACTGGTAAATCACCTGGACTTATTATCTTCCAGGACTGCTATAAGGCAGGAATTGTGTCCTATTCATCTAGTCTTATTCATCACAAGACCTCACATATAGTAGGGCCTGGACCTCAAAAGGAGCCCTGGTGGCATAATGGTTAAGAGTTCAGCTGCTAACCAAAAGTCAGCAGTTCGAATCCATCAGCCACTCCTTAGAAACCCTATAGGGCTGTTCTACTCTGTCCTACAGGGTTGCTATGAGTTGGAAGTAACGCGATGGCAACAAGTTTGGACCTCATTGTTTGGTGGGTTATAGTAAACTCCTTCTAATCTTCTTTTGGATTAGTTAACAATACCTGGGATTCTAATTGCATGAAAGCCTTCCCCCAACACCAAAGACAGTCGGGGAGTGCCCACCCCTCTCACTCCAACCATCTCATCTCAACCACCACCCCACCAGAGCCTAATCATAAGACACTCAAAGAATACAAGCTTTTGTCATCTTTAATTAAACAAATATAGAAGAAAAGTATAACAAAATTATCATATGAAATAAAAAATATAGCCAATGGCAAGCTTAAATCACCTGGATTATCTGCTATTGTATTAAAAGTATCTGTTCCACTCTTCTTATGCAATTAGCCAAGAGTTTAGGTCTCCTGAAGAGTATTACAGTTAAATGGTGACCAATAATTCTAGTTGAAAACTTCAAAAATTCAAAAAAATATACACACAGAGTTGAGGGCTCAAACTTATGGGCTGAATTCACAACCAGGTTAAATTTATTGCTTCAGCTCTACCCACATAATTATGGATTTGTGTTTTGTCTGGCGATGTATCCTCTGAGGCTTATCTCAGCTTCGAGCTACATTCAAAGTCAATGGTATCTGCACACTTGAATAATACCTGGGAGGAACGAGACAAGAATCAGACACATTTATGACAACATTTTCTTACAGCTCAGGAAAAACATACTCTGCAGAGATAGGTGAATTGTTATAGGCTGTCTCTTAGATCTCTCAATCAGGAAACACAGCACCATGAATAAATGATAGTTCTCTAAAGGGCAACGTCTCTCTGCCCTTCTCCTCCTAGAGCTTTCATTGTTACACATATGGTCTGGGGATGGGACTAGCTTCTATACTAAAGATTTCGTATCTATTAACATTGAGATATCTGTTTATAGCTTCCAAAAGAAAACGTTTTGAATAGGCGGTCTGGAAAAAACAGTATAAAAGTTTATTGTTACAATTTTTAGAACACAAAATGCCCTTCGGTCTGCTGACCAGAGATGACACCGTGAGACACATGGAGACAATGGGGAAGCACATCTTGCCAATACTGGATTTTATCAGAAGCACCCAATTAAATGTAGGTATATGAGACTTTCATATTTGCCTAATGTACCAATATTAGAGAATTCTAGAAGTATGAAAAGTGTATGGTGCAAATATTGCAAGTATTGGAGGATTTCAGAAACACTTACAGTAAATCTCACGTGCAAAACCAAGCAGATTTTAGCTAATGATTTTATTCCTTTTATATTTTAAAACATATTACAATGCCATGCTTTGCAATTTGCAGCATTTATTAAGCTAGTGTCTATTTAAAGAGAGTTTTCTTTATGCCTTCCTGATGCCTAATCCCAGGGTGTAGTAAATTTCTCATTTCAAATCAATAACAAAATTTTAGCTAGTACAATGTTTTCCCTATTTCATGTATTGTGCCATTGCATATAACCATCTCGTTACCTACAGAAGAATTTAGAACTTTCCAAACTAGTAGTTCCTCCACACGACACTGATAAATTGGTTGCTACTCTAAACACTGCCAACGGGTCTTTGTATACTCTGAAGGCAAATTATCTAATCTCTTTCTACGATCCAGAAAAGATGTGCCTTTCCTACTTTTCAGTCTTCAAAAGCTCAAAATAAAACCTGAATTATACTGTGCAATTTTACAAAATTTAAACCATGGTGCTAAAGTAGATAAAGAGAACTTCTCATTAACAAGCTATAAGGCTGCAGATTTCCCCTTTTAATATTTTTTCAAAAGGCCTTTAAATTGTAAAATTTTAAGTATTATCTTGTGCCTTTTGCATTACATCATTGATTTGATGTGCTTACCCTACAAGAGTAACAGAGAGGGTCATCACAAACAGCTGCTTAACATCTGATCAGCAGTTTATCTGCTCAATAACATTATTCAGCATTTTCAAAAAGCTGCACAACCCCTAATCTATTTGCATGATTTATAAATCTATGCATTACAAACACAAGAGCACATTTCTACTGATTTTCCATAAAACTCCCTTATCCCTACGATTTTGCTCCATTCAACTATCTCTCTTACAGATGTCTATTAATAATAAATCCATCTCATTCTCTCTACTTCAAATTTTGAGCCCCGTTCTTTCATTCACCTGTCCTAACACCTCAGACACACACACACACACACACACACACACACACACACCAACCTTCCCATCCTAAATGTGGACCCACACACATTATCACTGTCATCGTCAGGCCTTTACCAGCAGAGGAAGCTTCGCTAGCAGGAACGATCACCAGGCAGTATTATTTCATCTCATCTGAATATGGTTGGCCCAGCAGAGCCAGTGTGCTGGGTGTGAGGGAGGTGATCTGCCTGCACCCAGGCTCACCTTGTTTCTTGTCAGGTAACTGACCATGTTGTCTGGTCATCGTCTGATGCGGGCTCAGATCTCACAGTGGGAGAACAGATTGGCCTATCTGAGCAGTAGGCATTATTTAATGTTCTTAACTCATTTTCTCCTCACCTCTCAGAGGGCATTCTGGCCACTTGGAAATTTGTTTACGTGTGTGTATTTATCTGTCTATAAAGATGACTTAAAACCCACAAGTAACGAGATTCTTAGCATCTAATTCATAACTTCTTTAGAATGAGTCTCAGTATCACTTTGCTAACACTTTGCTCACAAAGAATTTCATCATTTCTCTATGTCTGCTTCTCTGGGAAAGAACAGTTTTTGGAAGATTGTCTTAAAGAGCTTTAATGGGATTGAAGCTAGTGAGCATGAAGGGTTCCAGGGACCACAAGTATATCCAAACGTTGGCCTCCCAGCTTCTTATTACATGCCCCGCCACAGCATCATAAAGCAGGATTGAATAAAATTGACTGCAAAGGTAACCTAGCTTAATGAAGCAAGCAATGAACTGGTGACTAGAAATTATTCCTATATGGTACCATTAACTGTGAGCAAGCAGCCCTCAATAGTGTTTTTAAGATCCTCTGAATTTTTTTTTTCCTTGTCAGTTGTCAAATACCATCCACTTTAATGATTATGTGTTGTATTGTCCTCATTATTTGTTACCCTAACTTGTGACACCTCTAGGTGAAGACTTGGGCCCGAGGCTGCGCTATAGCTATGTACTTCTACTTAGGGCGTGTCCCTTAACCTATGAGTTATTTGTTGTTTTTAGTTGGTTGATTGGTTGGTTTTTTTGTTTGTTTGTTTGTTTTCTCATTTGGAAAATGGGGCTGATATCGGCCAGGCCCACCTCTCAGAGTTGATGTAAGACCAAAAGCATATAATCCATGTTAAAGTACTTTGTAAAATATTACAAATTTTAGAAGTTTGAACTACTTGAATTAGTTTGTTTGCTTTGACAGATTGTTTTATTGACCTTTCTTTTTCTTTATATGAGTTATATAGTTTGAAATTACATATTCGCCTTCTAAGATGGAGACTGGGCTAGTGTCCTGTGGATTTAAATTCTTTCTTTAGCAGTGATCACTGATTTGCTCAGATCCACTCACATAGACAGGACTGGAAGGGTCATCCCAGCCATGGAGTAGATCTACTGCCCACAACAGGGCTGGCCTCAGGACTTCTGTCTCATTAACAACAGGATACAACCAGGAGCTAACCAGCCCCCACGTGTGTTGGAAGAACAGAACAGATATCCAGATCACCTCCATTAGAAAACAGTGACTGGTATCTTATCTGAAGAACTTTAGATTTTTCAATCATCCTTCACACTGGTGATTGAGACAGGATTTTACTCTTCCACTAGGGTAAAGAGTTGTCGCTTTGAAACATCCACATTTTCATCCAGGCCTAATGGCTGAGAAATACACTTTGTGTCATATATGTTCAGAGTTTTTTAATTCATTTTGGCAATGTTCCCGAATGGAAATTCCTCTGCAATATGAAATTAGAATGCATTAAAACTTCAGCATTCGTAATAGCAGGACACCCAAAAGATAATATTAGTGCTTAACATAATACAATGACCAGAATCAGTTATGCAATTTTTTTAAGTATTATCACATTTATTTAGTCACATAAATGATAAGTATGTAGATTTCTAAACGATTATTTAGATGATGCCAAGGATTCTCATATTCTATCCCCTAGACATATTGAAAAACTAATCTATCTACCCTGTTGGCACAGTGGCTAAGAGCTTGGCTGCTAACCAAAAATGGTCAGCAGTTCGAATCTTCCAGCCACTCCTTGGAAACCCTATCAGGCAATTCTACTCTGTCCTACAGGGTCGCTATGAGTTGGAATCGACTCAATGGCAATGAGTTTGTTTTTGTTTTTGTTTTCTTTTTCTGCGGGGGGTGGTGTTGTAAATAACAAGTTTATAATATCTACCTAGTATCTTTAATTAGAAAAAAAGTTAACTTTGCAGTATACTCAATTATAATATTGTAAGAAATTTTTAATTGGTTGTTCCTATTTTCAATTTTCCTCCATCAAATAAGAACACAGGTTTTTGTTCTCCACAAATTATATATAAAGAGATAGTACAGCAATTCACCTTCAGTAGGAGCATAATAAATACACGTAAAATGACTAAAAAAAATTTAAAGCTAACAAATCACTCTTGCTTCCAAAATTTCTGGAATATTCTATAGTCAAGAAATTTTCTTAAATCAAACATATTAGAAAAAAAGGGTAGTCCTGGTTATTGCTTGGGTGCTGACTGTGTGCAGGAAGTTTCACTTAGTGGCTGGGGAGCAGAGAATGCATGTATCTGTGTAAACTCTACAGTTTCAAAAGTGTTTTCCCTCATGTTATCTCATTGTATCCTCACAACTTGATGACATTGTGTCACCTGTGTTTTACCAATGGAGAAACTGTGGCTTGGAGCAGTGATCCATTCTTGCCCGCACAGCTAGGGAAAGGAGAGCTAGGATTCAAAATAAGAGCTTTCGAATATTGGGCCCAGTATCGGTATAAACAGTGTGTACTCATCTACTAACCTAAAGGCTGGTAGTTCGAACCCACCCAGTGGTACCATGGAAAAAAGGTCTGGCAATCTGTTTCTGTAAAGATTACAGCCAAGAAAACCTACGAAACAGTTCTACTCTGTAGCCATGAGTTAGAATCAACTCAACATCAATGTGTTTGGGTTTTGTTGTTGCTGTTGCTGTTGCTGTTTTGCTTTTTTATTCTTTCACTACAACACAGTGCATTCTTTGAAATAAAACTATGATCCTTGCTGGAAGCAAAACATACATAAAACAACATGGGACTGATTCCATAGCTAGATTCAGTAAAAAATGAACATATAAGTGAATGAGTCAGACTCAGAAAGTTAATTGTGAAAAGCTTCCTCGAGAATATGAATTTTCACCTCTTACCAGGAGGTGGTAGACACAGTTGATGAAGGAGACAAAGACATTTCCAGTATGAATGAACCCCTGGTATGAAGGAAGTGTCTATGTCTCAGGCAGTGATTCCCTTTACACTTCTCACACCAGTCCTTAGCTTTATATATTGCTCCGTTAGACACACAACACAGAGCCAAACAAGAAAGATTATGGACTTTTAGAATTATAATCGAAAATAATATACCACCTTCCCACCTGGTGGCTTCTAATCCCACTGAACAGCCAACCCCATTCAACCTGCAGTCTAGCTCTAGCGGAAAAAAAAAGTTTTCCTTTCTGAATTTTTTGTCCTAAGTATTTCACATGCCACTGAATGGCTTTGTGCTTTTCCATCCATTAACTTTATTAGCTGCTGTCAGTTTCAAACCTTACGTACTGTGCTTCCTGGGCTAAATGTAAAGGGTTAAAATAATAAAATCTCTTACATGCATGAAGCCTCCTTCACAGGCTGACTTGCCAAACAATGACCTAACTAACCATGTTTTTAGTACCTCATTAATTTTACTTTTAATTTCCTCCAAGTGAAGCATAAAAAATATTTACATATGCACATTTGAAATGAACAATAATATGTTTCCAATTCCTTTTTTTTTCAATCAATGTTTCTATATGTTATGTCAAATGGAAATACATTCCAAACACCTGGGCTCTGCTTTTCAGTGGTATTATATAGTGTCCCTTATTTGCCAAAGCTTTATCCATACCTGC